TTCTGGGCTGTGTGGGCAGTGTCACACAGTCGATGGGCTTACCACCAAGAAGGTCAAGCTTGAAGAGGGGACATAGGCTGAAGCCTCCTGTGTTTCCTTCAAACATCCTTTCCTGGCCAGATTACATGCTCAGGGGAGGCTCCCCCCACATTCACCAGCATCTGTCTCTCCTGAGAATACATGAGCTGGCTGGCACCCATGCAGGACTGAATATATGTGTGTATTATCCACATGTATTATACGTATGTACAACAGGTATTATATGTCTGTATTATGTGTGTATAGACACATGCACACACACACATATATATATATATATAAAATCCACCTTGCAAATTGTCCAAAGAAGCAAAAGGTGCCACGCTTTCTTTCAGTTTCTACTGGGGATTTTATTGGCGGGATGTGTCCAAATGAAGTGAGGCAGTGTCCTGAGCTATGTCTTTCTCTGAAGAGGAGAGTGTGCAAGGGAGGAAACGGGTGAGTTTAACTTCTGTTCGAAGGAAGGGCAAAAGGAACAAAATTAAATCTGTGGTGATACTGCTGGTATTTACCAAGGGAATGCAGCTTGCTTTGCAAAGGCAGCAGTTGTTTTATCTTCTTTATTATATCCTAAGTGTTTCCTTTCTTTCAAAACAAAAGAAAATTTGCCCAGAAAGTAACCCTCTGAACAGCTGCAGGGACTTCTCTGTAATTTAGGCTGCAGGGTTCCTTGGAGGCACTCAGTCCTCCCCTTTGTCCATGGAGTGCAGGGATCACTGAGGAGGCTAAATAAAAAAAATCATTTACATAACACCTTCCAGAGGTCCCAGAAAGATTGTCTCCTAGAGGCTGCCAGTGCCCTTTGCCTTCCATGTGCTCATGGCTTGCTGCACTGTGAGGGCTTAACACTTTCAACAAAATTCAGAGGCCTGTTGGCACAGTGCTCCAGTGAGACCTGGAAAACTTTTGCTCAGGCTTAGTAGGAAATACCTGTTTTCACACACTCCTGTCATTACTTTCTCATCTTTGCACTTATCTCAGATGCCTTGCACTGTACTGCTTGTTGCCCATTCCGTGTCTGAAAACTTTGTGGTTTTGCAAAGCTAGGCACTTCATTATTGGGCTCACGCTGTCTGGCTCCATAGACGTGGGAGCTCCACGGAGAAGGTGGTCCTTTCATCTCCTGCCACACCATATTAATTTTGCAAATGTGACAAGCTCAGCTTTGCAAAAATAACATATTGCCCACGTCTTGTTCCATTTAATATTGTATTCAAATGGTCCAAGTGCTCAGTGGCGTGGGCTGGGGGAAACGGCTCTGCAGACTTCTTTGTCACTTGACTGGCAGCTGGCTTCCAGAAGTAATTATAGCTGTTCAGTGCCGTGGTACGCCAAACCTCTTGGGGATTAGTGAGGCATCAGGTGCACGGTGACTCAGAGGCAAGAACAGAGATGCTCCACTTCCCAGGCCATAAAGGCCATAAGCTTTATAAATCCTAATATCCACCTGGACTTGGGACTAAAGTGAAAAGGAAGCGTTGCAGTGACCTTGCAGAGGGTGTTCTAATTTTCCAGAAAACCAAACAGGGAAATTTAGACCTTAGGAGTTTGAAAGTGAATTGCATTGACATCGTGTGGATTCATGGAATCTAATGTCTGTTCAGAAAAGTTCTGGGACCCTGGTTTCTCGGTTAGAAAGGAAAATAAAGTAATGATAGTTATGAAAGTTGTTAAGTCAGAATGCTTAACAAAGTGTAGAGTGGAATTATAATAACAATTTAACTATGGTAGTGTCCAAGTAAACACTGAAGTTAGTTTGGTCAAAGCAATACGGGTAATCAGTATGAATTATAGTCTAATGTGCTCATTAGTGTCACTACTAGTGACATTTGGTGCTTACAGAATTAGGTGTTAGAAACATTAAGTACTTAGAAAATGAATATGCAAGATATATAAAGTAGTACAGGATCATCATGATTCTTTGGTGCCTTCTTCAGGATGGGGTTTCCAGATACCAGACTGCATGAAGAGTTATTAAGTAAATCCTATAATTTGCTCTGCTTGAACAATAAGAACCGTGAAAACTGGTAACTTGTTAAGTTTCTACTTCAGTAAATGTGATTTTCTGTAGTAACTACAGTACCGGAAGCAAACCTGCCAAAGTAATGAGTGTTAATTAGGCTCTATGTAATCTCAAACTAATCTAAGTCCGTAATTACTAGGCAAGAAAGTGTAGGCTTGCAAGTACTCATGGTGCAATGATCTAAACAGAAGAAGGGAAACTGTGATAGGGTCTGTCTGTGCACCTTTAGGGTGTGTCAGCTGCAGTCTGGGTGCCTTTACGCCTCCAGCATAGGTTTTTGCAGGACATGTACCAGAGCTTCTGGGTTTTTTGATTGGGATATCTCCACCTTTAGCCTCTGATGATTCCCCACAGGTAGGAACCTAGACACATTGCCTGGCTGTCCCAGAAGAAACCCATGCTGGTTTCTGTCTTCTGCTTCAAGCTCCCCTGCTCCCAGTTCCTTGAGTGGAGCTTACTCTGTATTTAACAACTGTGGTGCTCGTGGCTTGTCACATCCTGGCTGTGTCCTCAGTAGCCTGGCATCTTTTGTGGGTTGCTGCTTCCTCCCCACTACTTGTTCAGAAAAAGGAGTTGTGCTGTAATATAAAAGAAAATCCTGAATCAGTGGGGAGGGGGGTGGATGGGACCTGCTGGATCATTCTTTTCTGTGTATCTTGCCAAGGAAACTGAAGAGATCATCTGGCCTTTTGTTCCACGGTAAGGCTCGATCTGGATCAGGCATCACATAAGGGTTCATGTAGAAAACTGTTTGCTAAAATGTTCTTACAGGGTGTTGCATGGTCTTCACATGGTAAAGCCCAGTTTTCAGTAGTTTAAGTAATTACCCTCCTAGAATATATAGTTCTTGCCTGTTAAGACTGGGATGGGTAAGGAACCAACGCTTGATCACTAAGACATGAGGTATGATTTCTGCTATTGACACTTTCCTCTGTAGTACCCACAATGGCAATACAGTTATTACATTAATAAATACAAATATTTTGTTTATGCAGTTTTTCCCAGGAGAGAATTGGGTGGAATGGGGGAGGATAAAAAGCGATTTTTCTGTAGGACGTAGACAAATGTGCAAAAAGTAATGAGGAATGATCTAAGCAGGAAACTTCAGAAGAATCAACAGGACTTTTAAGGTACTGAGGAACAGTGGAAGGAGGGGAAGGACAATGGAGCAAAACTAAATTAATTCTTTGTGCCAGTCCTTTCCTATGATTCTAATTTTACTTGACAATTCAACCAATTTACCTGATTCAAAGTAAAGCTCAGTGGTCTGTGACTTCCCAGATCACCCCATATCCCTTTTTTAGAACAACTTTACAGCATTCTCTACCCTTCATTACTCCAGTAGAACAGCTGAGTTTAATGAGAGAATTCATGTTTTTTGGCATCTCAACCACTTCCATACCAAACCCCTTCAGATCTCTTGGATGTATACAGAATGCTGTGCTGGTGACTTCTTACTCTTCAGCAGTTTGTTCGCATCTGCTCTCCCAACAGCTCCATCTCAGAAGGTGTCTCATCTTCATTGCTTGCAAAGGGTATTTCTAGGAGAGATGTCTCTTCAGCATGTCTCTCTGAGAAGCATTATCTTTCAATATCTGGGTAAGTACTTGCCTTTAAGGCCTGCTTCTCCAAGAGACACTTCCTTGTGTGATGCAGTGACACTTACAGCCATCCCTTCTCCATAAAGAAAAGTACTAGGAACACACGAACATGGGAGCAGGAGGGACCCTGTGGGTCAAACAAGAGTATGCAGGTTGAGCTGCATTTCAAGTGTAACCATAGTTTTTGCTGCTCTACCTCCTGCTGGAAAGCAGTCCCAGAACTTCCTTACTCTGAATCTAACACCCCTCATTCCTTCTGCTTTGGATTCTTTGCTTCTGGCTATCAAAACCCAGATTTGGGGCAATAGGTTGAATTCTGCTTCTCAGTCAAAGAAATGATGGTTCCCAGAGAACAGAGCATGCAGTTAGGGTATGGGGAAATCTCTTGTTGTTGAGAAAAATATATTTCTGCTTTTCTGTTAGCTTTGAAGAGTGCTGGGCTCTTCCTGCCTTATTCAGCTGGACTTTTCTCATCCTGCTCAAGATTACTGTCCCATCTGGAAATACAGAATATGCAGTAAAAACATGTGATAGCTGCCTGTCACCCTTCCTGGATGTGGGATTCTGGTTAAGCTTCATTGATGATGAAGCTCTGAATTGACATTCTCCCTTTTGCTATGTATTTTTTCTTCCCTTTCCTACTTGCAAGCCTGGAGAAATCATCCAAGATTCACTCTAAGAAAAGAAGGAACAGAGCAGTCATATTGAGGGCTAGGTTGAGGATCAAGGTGACATTAGTGTTCTCCATTGTTAACGGTTGCTTCTCTCCTCCTTTGCCAGGAGCATGTTGGCCTTGCATTTCCATACTGCACTCTCACTGACGCAAGGGTTGATGGTGAAGGTAGGGCAAAAATCTTCATGTCTATGTCATGGTTTCCTGCCAGGCTGACAAATGGGAAACAGGCAGCAAAGCTAGTTATGCCAACTAGTTAAGGAACGAACTGTATCATGTTTTCATATCTTTGTCCTGCTTCTCCCACTCTTTTCTCCTTGAAAGTTCAAAATACATCTGAGGGCAAAGGCAGAAGCCTCCCTAGTCATGAGAAATGATCCAGAAGAAATAAGTGGTAACTGTGGTGTGGACTGGCAGGGAAATAATATTATGCCTGTCTTCCCCCTCCCATTAAGAAGTGGAGGTTGGGGACTGCGAAGGGAGAGGAGTAACAGGAGAGGCTTGGGTTTTTTAACTTGTTTAGCAGCAGTAACTGTGAAGCATAAAGCTAACTGCAAAGGGTGTTTGATGACTCAGCTGAGTCTGAAGCGCTGAGATGCTGCTTAATGGCTTTTTTTGTGTTATCATTATATCATACTTTTTCTCTGCTTTTTGTTTCAGAGGTACTACATGTTCCTGAGTTGCTGGGTAGTTAGTTACCTGACAAGTGCTCATGGAAGAGGCAATTATCTAATTTCTCAATCATGGCTGGGAAGTCGCTAGGACACTGTTGTGAAGGACATCTAGCCAGCTCTGCTCCCCTTGTGAAGCATTGTCCCATGCAGGTTAGCCCCTCTCCCTTGGCATATCACAGCTGAATTGGAATTGCTCATAGACATACCCCAGACAATTTCGGTTGCAGTTTCTTTGACTCTTTTGATCTTTGAAAAGAGCAATGCTTTTTTTGCCAGATGAACAATTTGTGCTGTGGAGGGTACAGGGCCAGACTCAGTGAAAAGGACATTTGCTGTGATGACCTGTGTGAGAATTAATGTAACCAGCAGAGTATGGAATCTGGTACCAAGGAGGTGACAGTGTACTTAGCATAGTATCTCACTGACAACCTGGGCATAATTTATTTATTCCTTGTAGTAGGATCAATAATAGCACAGCAGTCAGGCAGCTGTAGGTAGCCTGGTGCTATCTTTCTTGGTGAGAGTGTCCAGACAACCGACAGGAGCAACTTAGCCACATGCTCTGGGACACACAGCAATCACAAACTCCAGAATGAGTCATCGATGCCCCCTTTTGTGGACATGTTCCATATGAAAAGCAAAAAACAAAGACAGTCCCAGTCCAAGCTGATACAGCCAATGCAGTGATTGAGTCTCCCAGAATTTGAGAGGTCCCAGGCATCACTTATCTGAGGTTTCAGCCACTTTTTAGGGTATATTTATTTGCAAGCAACATGCCCTGGGGAAGAAGAGGTGTGCCAGAAGCCTGCTTTATGTGCACTGAGCAGCCATGGAACAAAAAGGAGACTCCTGCCCAAAATGGTTGCAGTAGGCAATGGGTGGCAGAAGGACATGCTGAGCTAGTATGGCCCAGCGTGCTGGGCAGCAGGGTTATCCAGCTGCAGCTCCCTTACAGAGTTGAGAATCCACCCAGGGTATGAAGCTTTTCCTCTCACACAGCTTTACTCTGCCTGAAGCGCAGGCTGGCAGGCTCAGGGGAGATCTGCAAAATAGGGTCACATTTGCTTTTCTATCAGTTAAAGTTTTACATAAGATTTTCATAGTTATGATAATAATCTCGTCATTGTTGTAGCCCCAAAACTTTTTGTTTGCCTGCCTACTGAGGTTTTGTTTATCCCTTGCTCATTTACAGCTGACAGAGTACACAGGTCCTAAGGCACTCCAGGCATTTTCTTTTTCTTTCGAAAAGGCAAGGTGGCCTCTTGACTCAAGAAAGTTGAGAAACAGGGCTCAGTGTGCATCCGGGCTTTATTGCCTCTCTTTGACATTCCTAAGCACATTTAGAAGGTGTTTACTATATGTGCATCCGGGCTTTATTGCCTCTCTTTGACTTGTTTCTCTCACAATTACATTCCTAAGCACATTTAGAAGGTGTTTACTATTTATTTGTAAAATGTTTTTGTTTTCTGTGATCATTGAGTACGAATGTGGTGGCATTTCTATAATTGCTCTAACTCTGTTTGGGTTAATAACTATTTTGCCAAGTGAACACAGCTTCATGGGAGCTCAGCTTTTCTGGTTCAGTGCTGGCAGCACCACGCGTCGCTGTGCACTACCCTGCTGCATGGCCTCGCTGGGTCATGCAGGCAGGATTTTGAGGTTCTCTTGAGTTACGTAGTGGAGCCTGAGGTAAGCATGGTATTTCACTGGTTTGGCATAGTCTGTCTAATTAACTAGAGCTGCCACAGAAGCTGCTGTGATCTAGCCTGACTGTGTCTGTTCCTCAGGCCTGTAGTTCATTCCCATCCGCAAATACGAGCTGGAGAATGAAGAGGAAGGATGACCTGGCCCAAATGGCAGTAACGGCATTTTGCAAATGCCCTCCTGTAGCCCTCCTCTTGGTTTGGTGTCACTTCTGTGGCATTGCATTCCTTGCAGAGCTGGAAAGCCAGGACATCTTAGCAGAGCCTCAGCAATGGGAAACAATAAACATTGTTAACTGGGGCAACCCTCCTTCCAAGTGGAAGGTATCCAGAACAGCGAGCTGGCTGCTAGCCATGGGGGCCTTGTTTTTAAGGGAGCCTGAACAGTCTATCCCATAAGGGGTTTGGAGCAGCCCAGTGTGGTCGGCTGCCACAGGGGACCGAATGTTCACTGGTGGCCTCCTCACCCACACGGGCAGTGTGCCAGAAACAGGGCAGGAGGCGGGAGGTGGGAGAAAGAGAGGCTGTCGCAGGAGTGAAGAAACCAAAAGGTATCAAAGATTAGGCAGGGAAACAGGCTGGATCATACCAGGTGCCTGACAGTGAGAAATCATGGAGTTGTGATGGAAAGAAGAAATGCGCACAAGCAACAGCAGCGATTTAGGATTTTCTGCAGCTAGAAAAAGTGAGTCTGAGCTAGAAGTGAGTGCACAAGGTAGTGGCAGAGCTGAGGGTAGCACACCGAAAAGCTGATGCCTGTGCTAATGCTGTTCCCATAAGCATCGCTCCCTTAGGACACTGCTGAACTTTTATGATGTGATGACAAAAACAATGGGGGAAATGACAAAAAAAAGGGGTGGGAAATCAGTGATTACCCCAGGCTTGGTTACAAGGGTTCATTAGATTGAAAAAATATCTGATGAAATTGTACTTTCTAAGACTGACCCAAAGGATCACTGATTTGTAGTAGCATTAACCACTGACAAAAAATATAAACAGGAGTTTGGTTAATGTGTTTGAGTCTAATAATGTAAATGGTAACAGAAAATTACTTGCAGCATTGACTGCTTTCAGTGTTGCGATGGAAAAAAATTTACAATGCTGGAAACGTAATTATTGAAGGTGATTATAATTTTGGCTTCAGTTAAATCGTTTTCCTTCCAAATATAACACTCTTCACTCCAATGAGATTATTCATAACTTATGTATTGCACTTGACTTAATTGGCATATGGTGTAATTTAACCCCTCTCAAAAACATGATTTATGTGCTTTGTTCTAACCGATCTATTAAATACAGCCTTGTTTTGTGTTGAGTCTTGCCAATTTAGGCAAAATGATTTCAGTTTGCTCTGTCCTGGCTGCTTATCTGATCACTGCCCTGCCTTTATTATTCAACAATTGCAGTTATGTTGGGGATGTGTGATAAAGCTTATTGAAAATGTAATGCCAGTTTCTTGAAATCAGAGAACAAAATGTATAATAATTTAATTCATCAATATTGATGCACTTGATTCTGAGACTTTTTATAGAATGGTCAGTGTGCTGATTTTAAGCATTTAGAAAAGCAGGAGTTTGGTATTTCTGAATTAAGCAAGCTGGGATTTCTAAACAGAAATCAGCTTCTTATTGTGCAATAGGAAGGAATACATTAAAAAAAATCTCTTTTTCAGTACATCAAGGAATGCATGAAAATCTTCTGTTCTTAAAAAACTTGTTTGTGTTATAGTAAAAGGATTATATCGGAGAAAGGCTAAGGTGCCTTTTTAGTTTCCGCTGTTTGTTTTGGATGGATGAAAAAGAGAAAAAATATCTATTGGGGGAAAAGGCCTCATCCATGCAAAGGAGGAAGGGTTCCGATCCGTTATTGCTATTATTGTTAGGAAAATATGGTTTAAATAGGCTAATCTTGTTTCTAGGCTATTTTGAAGGTAAATGTGAACTCCAGGAGTGCTGTGAATGAAAGCATGACTAAGAGAAGCAATGAGTGTGGAGGTTTGTGTGTAGATAGCTACAGAAAAAGAGGTCTATAGGCGTCTTTCTATCTTAGATAGGGACTGGGTTTTTGTACTTGTCTTTAAAGCATCAAGACCAAGTGGTGGAAGGCAGACATTTGCCTTTCTCATTACCACATTTTTCTAACACAATTGATGCTGTGTGTACCCAGCAAAGGGGTAAGGCTGGCAGTCCTACTTCTTCCCTGAAAAGAAATGACTGTGGGTGAAATCAAGAGACCTTGAAGATTGTGAATGGTAGGGAAAAGTGAGCCAGGGGACTGCTTGTTTTGTCTTCTGATACAAGCTGTGGGAGCATGAAATAGGATGAGCTGATGGCATGTTCAGAACAGGCAAAGGAGACACTTCTTGGAGCACTGGTCCATGGAACTCATTGCTGCGGGGTGCTGCGAGGGCTGAACGCTTGTTGCAGTTGAAAACGGGACTGGAGAAATTAATGTAAGAAAAATCATTGGGGCTCGTTAAATGCAAAGACCTAATCTCTAGCTCAGGTAGTCTTTGACCCTCAAAGCACTGGGAGACTTAATTATACCTCCTTGCCCTGTTTTAATGTTCTCTGGCCTTCTGCTGCTGGCCGCTTTAGCAGAGAGAGGGTGCTGGCCTAAGGGGGCCTGTGGTCTGAGCCAGTACAGCTGTTCCTGCATGTGCTGAGCGTGCTGCCAAGCGATGGTTGCAGTCAGCGTGTGACTGGTCGGGTTTACAAAGGGCTCGGTGAAGCACTGAAGTCTTTAGCATATCTGTGATGTGTCAGTGGTAGCTGTTGTCAGTCTTTTCAGTTTTTCTGACAAAAGATGCTTTGAGCCTTTGGCCAGTTCTGATCTCTCCTGTGACTTCACTCCAACTTACAATTATTTGGATGCTGCTATTCCCAGAGCTGAAGACTGTTCTAGCCTCACCCAAGCCCTGTGGAAGGAAGCACACGAAACGCAGAAGCATGATGGGCCTCTCAAAGCTGATTAGCACTAATGTAAAGAGACGCTGGCTGCAGTTCTTTTGGAGCGAGGCTGTTGGGTTTGGCTGGCTGGCAGCAGTGTTTTGGATCAGGGCCGTTGCTTTTTGCTGAACCATCCTTGTGCTTTCTAAACTCAACTCGCTTTAGTCTCTTATCAACCTCTGCATCTTCCAGCCACCCCAGCACACTGCTAGGCTGGTCCTCCTGCTCCCCAGGCGCAGGTGTTGAGGTTTTGCCATGGTGTCATTTCAAATCAGTTGCAATGGGAGAGAATGTCTTTGTAAAGCAAGCTAGGCACATGGCACCACCTCTCCAGCTTTCTGGTACTGGGAAGTTGAACACTGAAGTGTTCTTTCTGTATGTCAGCTAATGTTTGCTCTGGTTCCCTGTATGATACCTTAGCATGAGAGGGAAAAATCTCATTGGTTTTCATTTATTTTGTGTGCAGGTAGCTACAAATAACTACTGCAGTCGTGTTTTAACATTTGGAGCTTCAGAAAATACCCCATCAATTAAACATGCTTTTATGTTTAATAAGCGTTTGGAGAACTCAAAATGGATTACTGAAGAAACCGCCTTCCCTCCCTAGCTAATCAGAGAAAAGACAGTATTTTTCTAGAATTTCCTGTGAAGTTCTTCTGTAAGAGGAAATTTCAGGTTGTCCTCAGTTTCTCCCAGTGCTCAGTGTGCTTACTATGAAGACAGCTCCCTTCCCCTTTTTTTTTTTCCTTTAATTCCAGTGTGTGTGAACAAAAGTAAGGAAAGCCTCAAAAAAGCCTAGACAAAGCAGAAAGGTGCCCAGGAAATGTAAGGAAGGCAGCTGCCACTTCAGAGGTCAGGGGCCGAGGAAGGCGTACATCCCTCGAATGGTGTTTGAAGAGACCAGCGGGTGCCGTGCTCTCCATGGGCCCCTGGCTACCCTGACTGATCTCTTGATGCTGGCAGCTCCAGTGCCACATAAACTTTTCAGAACCCTCAAACTGCTGCCTTTCGCAAAGCCACAGATTGACTGTCCCTGCACTATACTTAACCCAAAATCAAGTCTGTTTTCAAGTCTTACTGTGGTGACGAAACCCAAACCCTCTGTGAATGGCTACAGCGCTCAGAGGGCCTAAGGGTGCAACGCAGGTGGGCTGTGGGTGAGACTGTGAGGTGCCTTGTGATCTTGGAGAGGGATTGTTTTGGTTCCAAGACTGAGCCTGTAACGGTCAGAGGGGAGGTGACTGCGGGGCTGGGAGCAGCTGGTGTAAGCGTAGGAAAACCTTGTAGTGCTTTGCTTCCCTCTTCAGCTCATCTTGGTTTTTTCATTCAAGGTCAGTTCTAGCCCATGACCTTTCCTACTGACCACCACTCATTCAGCCACTGCAGCCTCCTCCCAGGGGCAGGCCAAGAGGCCTCCTGGTTGCCTGGTTGAGACGCATCGGCCCAGAGAGTGCCGTTGCCAGGAAGAAGGACCTCAGCAGTGCAGGCTGTGTGAGGCGTGTGGCGACGGAGGTGCTCGTGCAGGGTGTGATGCTGGCGGTGCTCAATACAGTCAGAGGTAGGATAAAAACCTGGGGTCCTTGTTTCTCATGGCTCTGCCCCAATTACCACAGCACGTTTCCTTCTGCTCTCCCAAGCAGACGTGAGCTTGCCCTCCTGCACCACTTGACCACCAGATCGATGCAAATGCCATGACTTCAGCGCTTGCTTGCAACACCCATGATGTCACTGTTGGGTTTAAGCCAGTGGTCTATTTTATGATTAGAGGTTTTGTTTTTCACTGGAACAACTTCAAGGCTTTTTCATTGCTAGTTCATGTTTATTCCTTGCACCAGTGAAGCGCAGAATGTGGGGAGAAAATGGGTAAGTGGAAGAAACAGACACTAAACCCATGGCAGAGACTGACAGCGGTGCCTGTCTAGCCCGTCCTCCACAAAGCTCATCTCACAGAGACTGAGAATTTCTTTTTCTTTTTTTTTTGAATATGGGAAAACAGCAAATGAGTGTTTCTAAGTGAGAGGGCTGGGACTTTCCTCCCCTTCCACAGCATGCACAAGCCATGCCTTTCCCCACCCCACATCCGCAGGGCTGTGTGCACCCCAAAGGACAGAATGGAGCAGCTCCTAAACACAATAAACATTACTCTGTCTGGGTTAGTTTTTACATTTCTGTGTTTTATTTCTTGTTTTGTTTGAAATGACCTGTACCACAAGAATACAATTTATTTAACAGCTTTTTTCCTTTTTTTTTTTTTTTTTTTTTTTTTTAGGAGCAGATAATAGTTAAGTAGATACTGGTTTATTTCACTGACTGTCTATAACTCCCTGCATCATTCTCACAGCCTCTGTCCCTCTGGCTTCTCCACATAACCCAGCCACAAGAACAACAGAGTGGCCTTTGGCCATATGATTGATTATAGCTTGTGGATACAAAGTGGAAGCTCTTTTTCTCAGCTCCGATTGGTAATAAAAGCTCAACAAGTTACATTCTAGGGTCTTTCTCAATGACTTTCCCCTCTGAAGGCTGCTTACATGTTTCTGGTGCAGCATGTTTTATTTTATATATTTGTAATAGTTTAAAAAAAAAAGAAGATAGCTTATAAAGAGACAAATAATGCTCCCTTGGCATGAGCAATACTGCAAGGTTCTGATTGTTGTGGGGGGGGGTTTCTTATAGCTTCACAGTTTTGCTGCGAGGTGTAATGCCCAAGTTTCCCCAGAAACCTAATTCTGTGTGGTATTTTACGTTTTCTTTTAATTGATCCCCATGAAATTTGTTTTGCATTACAGGCCAGACACCGCTGTTCCCAGAGAAGAATGTGCCCTTAACAGAAGAGCTGGTCACTTGGGAAGAACTGCCTTTTGTAGTAGCTGACGGGTACGTGGTTTCTGTTATCCGCATATGCAAATCAGGGGCTGGAGCTGCTTTTACCATAGTTGCTGGATGTGGGCTACATGCTTATTCACTGTCACTGATACACTTACCTCTACAGTTTTTCCTTTTCTGTGAGTCATAGAGCCCATTTGTGTCCCAAGGCTGAAGCTCCATCTTTTGCCCCATGCAGAAGGGCAGCTGTATGGCGCTGACTCTGTGACTCCTACATTACAAATGAACAGCATAAAGAGCGCTGGTCCAGAACCCATGTCCTACTTCATGCCTCAACTTCTACATCTCCAACCTTTTTGTAAGAGACTGTGAGCGTTCAGACCTAAGCAGTTGCTGAAGCCCCATTTCCTACTTCAACTGAGTGCACTGAGAGCTGTTACCCTTTTCTGCAAGCCCAGCTTGCTGTGTAGCTGGACATGCTCCTCAATTGTGACAGCGTGACAGTACTAATGATGCACAGCAGGTCAGAATAACTGGGAAGGGATGTGTGTGATTCCTGCACTGGTCTGAAGGGCCCCAGAGACCTGACCTGGTTCCCAATGTAAGATCGTACAAGCCTTTTAGAGGTTAAAGCTAGACAGGTGTTTCTGTCCCCATTCCTGGGGAAGACTTTGCATTCCTTGCTTAAAGAGATTAATATATGCTAATTACTGTCTGGTTCAGTTCCCATCCTATTTCAGAAGCAATGCAAACATTTCCAGGCATATTATCTTCAAGCAGTGGGGGATATCCAGATGGGCTCTGAAGTTATGCAGCTGTAATGGAGAAAGAAGGTCCTGGGTAAAAAATGCATTTGGTATCTTTATATTCTTCTGCCAGGGCAGGAGTTGCCTCCATGCCATAGCCCTACTCTAAATAGCCAGCAGCCTCTGTGGGCTAGAAGCTAACTCAGCAGCTCTCCATAATCATGTTTTGTAGAGTTCTCCCACCCTCTTCTGGAAAGCCTTTTTTTTCCCCCCCCTTTTGTAAGTGACCTTTCCAGTCAGGGCCCAACAGAGTAAGAATCGCTTCGTAGGATCTTTTCAGCGCCTTTTGGGACGGCTGCCTGTGCACAGCAGATCAGGACGCAATGTGCTGCTGCTGAGCTGGGTGGGACTCGGCAGGAAAGCAACGGTGATCAAGTGAGTCAAACTTACAGGCGATAGCACAACCCAGCACATTTGTGTAAGCATTTATGCCACAGCCAGAAAGAGTTGCCAGGGTGCAGCACATGGCAAGCTGGCTCTATAGTGGCACCATGCATTTCAGTTTGGTCCCTCTTAGTCACAGATGGGTACAGGGATCATGAGTGCAACCAAAAGCTTCTCATGTTCCCTCCCAGAGGCAGCTGGGGAGAGAAGCACAAATATCTGTTCAAAGCACAAGGCCACTGTGTAATCGCTACCGCTGCAAGCATGGAAGCAGTCCCAGCTCCCATGGGCCTTCTGCCCCTTAGGTCTCTGTTGGTTTACTAACATGCCTGAAAGCAAGACTGAATTCCCTTATGAAGTGGGTACAAAATGGGTGAGAGTAGCTACGGCTGGGTAGTGGAGGGAAAACTCAAAGGAGATGGAACTGAACTAACTCAAGTACTGGGAGCAGGCTGGCTACAAGAGCTGAGGGGTCAGTGTGAGCTAGCACCCTCAGCCCCTGAGCTTGCCTGGGTCATGTTCTGCAGCATGGACAGCTCTGCTGGGACACATCCTGCTCCAGCAGCAAACAAGCACCCAGTGTCTCCCTGGTCACATACCTCAACCCAATTTGGCAGGCTTCCTGCTGCAGGCAAGTTACTCCTCTGCCACAACACCTTTCTGTTGGGCTAGCCAGGAAGGGATGGAAGCTTGACAGGAACAGAGGCAGAGCACAGCTAGTGGTGTCTCAACTGTAGATCAGGAGCTTTTCCTCACCTCTACTGCCATGCCGCTGACCACAAAATGGACAATACATTCAGGTTTCATCAGCTCAGGCTGGCTCAAAACTAAGTGACTTGGAACATAAAATCTCAGGGAATCCCAACAGCCAGTTTTGTCAGTCACCCACATTCCCCTCTGGCTACTGGGAATGCAGCAGTTGTGGCTTAGGCAGCAGATCTAAACCAGGGCTTGGAGACAGCAGGAACCTGGTTACATGAGAGGAGTAAATAAATAATCATTCCCCCACTTCTCCCACCACCTCAGGGTCAGGTATTTGCTTTCCCATCAGCGAGGGAACCTCTTACCAGGCCCAGGTATAACATATGCTAGCTCTTTTGCTGCTGTTGAGGATAATGGGATGAGGCAGGGGAAGACAGTAGTTGAGATATGGGGGGTTTCATGCCACCCTCTAATTTATTTCCCTAGGCTGCCACAAAAAGCAATCTCTCAGGCTCAAGAGCTGCCTCCTCTGAAAAGCAGTGCCCTTGATTCCTAACTAGCATTTGGCAATAAGCCTAAGTCTCTTGTGGAGGCAAAGAGCTATCACTTTAATGAAGTCTAGGAAAGCCCGGGTTTGGGGTGTATTTATAGTTGGGCAGTAACCATGCAGACAAAGCCTTGTGTTCTCTGCCACAAGGAACAAGTGGGGAATGGCACTCGGCTGAGCTGAAGAGGCAGGTTTGATACACTACAGGGTGAAAAGTGTGGAAAAATTGTAGTTAGCACCACAGAGGAGAGGATGCAGAGATTATCAAGTCAGTCAACCCAGCACTGAAACATAACATTGGGCTCTTTTCTCTTTTCCTTGCCATCTGGGAAAGACGACTTGCATTCTCTCAGGGTCATACATCCTACCTCTTCAGGGGCCTGCGGGGATTGTACACGGGAGGGACTAGCCAGGCGTAATGACACACTGTACAAGGTCGCAGAATATCTTACACAGTTAGGAGCATCTTTCCCGGTAAGAAGTGGGGCCTGTATGTACAAGTGTTAGCTGTCGCTAGAGGAGCCTGAGAGGCAGCCGTTTTGACCAGGAGAGGTCCAGCAGCACTGTTCTCCAAAGGAGCATCTGCTCTATGGTTAGAGCTGGAAAGGTGACAAAAAGAAGGACCCTGGCTGCTTCCCTTTTTATCTGACCCCTCACAACACCAGCAGATGAAGTTTACATTGACTCTATTCTTTCTCTCTTCCTGCTTCTGTCCCCACTCCCCCTCCAGCGCTGGCGGAGGAAGCTGGGGAGCAGGCGGCTTGGACAGCGCTGAGAGCATCACTGCTCAGAGGGGCTGGGCCCTGATGACCGCCTCAACAAGTGCAAGAGCATATTCTGGTATTTCCCACAGAGAAAAACAAACAAAAAAAAGAGAAACAGGTGACTGATTAAAAGAGTTTCCCCCCTCCTGTACACGAGATTCTGCAGTCACGCCGGCAGATAGACATTAAATAATTCTTCCATAATAAATGATTGGAGATAAAAGCCGGCGGTGGCTGCTGCTGCTGTTTGGATTGCTCCGTTGCCTGCATCTTTGTTTCTAGTTTGTTCCCCGGCCACTGTCGGCTGGCGCTGGGGCTGTCAGACCTTTGCCTCTAGCATTTCTAGGAAGAGTTTATGCATGGGAACCTTGCCCTGCAGTTTGATGCTGTAGAAGTGCTGCACAGCTTTGGCGGCTGTCTGCCGCAGGAGGGGCAAGGTCAGGAGCAGCTTGCCTGCTCGCCGGGGCTCCTCGTTGCGCTGACTCAGCTCGTAGTCCTGCAGGGCTTCATGGAGAAGGTCCTGGAGTTTCTGCACTGCATCCATGTCCTCTATGTGCATGGAGTCTGGGGGGAGGGAAAAAAGACAGCAAACAGGTAAGTCAGTCAGACATGAGGAAGGAAACCCTTTATGGTCCTGAAGCTAAAGATGTTTTCTTTCCTTTTCTTTCTTTTATTTTCTGTTTTCCTTTTTTTTTTTTTTCTTGGGGGGGGGGGGGGGGCCAGTAAGCTTGCTGGGGGTAGGTGACACATCGTGCCCTGTGCGCTGCCCATTTTGGCAGCCACCCCAAGGCGGTGCAGGGGTCAGACGGGGGCCTTTGTGACTTGCACATTCACTTGCCCTCCATGCTCCTTATGTGGAGAGTCACCCTGCAAGGGGCAGCAGCTGCTGTGCTGCCGCTTGGGAGCAATCTCATTAAGAATAATTAACACTGCTATAGCGCTTCATCTGTCTAAACTGCCTAATTGCCATGCAGCTGCTCAGGGTGTCAGCAAGACAGAAAAGCCCCAGTAGGTCACAACCAGTCTGCCCAGGGGTGTTGCTAGTCCCACCTTTGTGCAAGTACCCCTATATTCAGAGACCGCCAGCAGCTGCTTGGGGAGCTTCCTGCTTCAGTAAAGGAAACCGGCACCTCCTGCACAGCCTCTCCCCTTAGGCTGCCAGTCAGAGTTCTACAAGCTGCCGGAGGGCCTAGTAGGGTTTGCAAGGCTAGCACAGCTCCTTGGTGAGTCTCTGAGGCAAAGGCAAAGGTAGTGACCCAGCCCAGGGTTGAGCTGGGGAACCTGAGCTGAACACAGGCTGCTAAACTTGTGGGTAAGTCATGGTCACAGAGGGCAGCACCAAAGAGCAGAGGTTAGATCAGCAAAGCTAACCAGGCGCAGCATCACTGAAGTTTTTTTTCTCCTTTTCATCTTGCTGATGCTCGCTTCTTTCTTAACACCCTGACAGAGCTGGAGACACTGTTCCCTTGTCTTCATTGTTCAGAGACTTTTAATCGATACCGAACCCATTGATAAAGATCCCTGCCACAGGGCAATGAATCCAGACACAGCAGCAAAGGGACACTACGGCAAGCACACATGCAGTCACACTGTGCCACTGCAGCTGGGCTTTGCAGTGTGGCAGTGCTCTGGCTCAGCCCACACAACACAAATGCAAGGACACGGGTTCCTCAGTGTGACAGCAGAGAAGGGGAGCAAAGCACCGAAAATCTCTCTAGCAATATGTCTCATCTCTATGGAGAGCGCAACACAAGTTAGAGACTGTGCATTTCATAAGCTACGTGTACAGTAAATGCTATTTATGATGCATGATCTATAAAGTATTACAACAGTTAGGAAAATACCATGTCTAGCAAGAAAGCTCTTTAAGAAGCTGTTTAGAAGGAACACACTAATTAGAGGATATTAAGGGGCTGTATTTCCAAGAAGCCTACTGAGAAAGGATTGTTCTTGCCGCATTTGCTTTTTGTATCCAAGAGACCAGGCAAAGAAGCTCAGAGAAGGGCTGGTAGTGACCACAGTGACCTGAGCTAGCCACAGAGGGTGATTCTGAAAAGTAGGGAGGGAGAAGCATGTTGCCAGGTCAGTCTGGCAACTTACTTCTCCCAGCCAGGTAGCACCTCTGGAAAATTTCCATGTACCATCCAGGAGAAGTGAGTGGGATCTGTTTCCTCCTAAGTTGCAGAGACTGGAAGCATCAAGAGCTGGTGTTTGGAGAGAAGTGTCCTCCAGCCTTTCTGTGTAATGTCCTCCTGGCTAGGGGCACAAGGGGGAGAAGTAATCACAGTCCATCAGAGTTTGCAAAGCCCAGCCAGTGCTAGAAGCACCAGGCAATGAGCCCTGCTTCAGGCCAAAGTGAGTGCTCTGATTTTGGATACTAATGCTGCACAGGACAGTAAACGATGCCAAAGCTGTGCCCTTCGGCCGCCTGACTTCTGTAAGGTGACGAGACTTAACAGCACTAAATAACTAGACATATACAGGGAGAGCAATTGGGGAAATAAAGATCAAAGCCTGCCCCACCCCCCCACTCTTTGCTGAAAGAAGCTCAAAATTGGCAGCTGACTGTGAAAAATAAAATAACATTGCAGGATTAATTTCCTTGCAATCCATCAGTGAGCTGGTGTCGATGGCATTGATAAACTGTTAATTACAAAATCAATAACTATGAATTTTTACAGCTGTCAGAGCACTGAGGTGAAGGGAGGCTGCCTGGCCATCTCCCTGAGGGTCAGCTGGCCTAGAAGTCAGCCTTCATGTCAGGAGCCCTTCTCCAGCACTGCTGGCACGGGGTGCAGGGCAGGTCTGAGAACAGGAAAGGCCCACCCCCTCCTCACCTAATGCTTCTGGCAGCAGCAGGGACCTCACAGGACCCATTAGTACAGAATTCACTACGTGTGCTCTTGCTAGATCCAGACCTTGTTCACTCCATCTCAGCTCTAAAATGCTTTGGAGGGGAAAGAGGGGAAATAAGGTTTGGCCAGTCTGGGAAGCCTGGAACTGAACACGTGCTACATAGTAACCCAAGGGCTCTTCAATACACAGGTTGATCAGTTTGTATTACTGA